ATTATTGTAATCCCATTATTGCCATCTGTTAGTCCCACCAGCTTGAAACATGCAGCAGAACGGCTCCTGCCTGCAGTTTGTTTCCATCTCAAACATGCAAAAAGAAGGATTGGGCTTATTGCCTATTATAATCAATATGTGCTGTATTTTAACCGGAAATTCATGTAAAAATTTACTGTCGACTTTTAAATTGATTTTCTCATTTAGATGAACTTCCAGCACATTATAACGGATATGTTTCATTAGCACTGGAAACCAGCTCACCAGGTCTTCGCCTCCAGCTGCAGGAGGAACATTTAAAGTTCCCTGGCATCACTCATCTGCATTTTCTTGTTAACGTGCAGCACATTCCCCACCAGCTTCATTGCTTCCTGTCCCCCTCCCTTACTCCGAGGAGTATAAACATGTTGGAAGTGATTTTTCCATTCCTCCCCCCCCCCTCCTTTTTTATTGCCTGTCACTTCTTCCACCATCTGCTGCCACCAGAAACTATTATGCTTGTTACTCTGAAAAAGCAACATTTTCTTTAGTATCATAAAGGAATACAGACAAATCTGACCAAGAGGATCACAATGACCAGGTTAAGTAGCCTACTATATAGTCATTTGGTCAACAGTCTAAGATGCATAGCACCTTACTTGATTACGACATTACCTGGTTCAAAGAACCAATTTTACAGTAACTATATCCTATATAATCGATCGGTTTCCTTCTTCAATATCAACTGAATTTTGATTATCTGGGGGCAGAAAAACAAGCTATTAGTGCTTACAGATGACTAATAACAATGACCAACTGTAGTAAATCCAGTAGTTCAATCTAGTATTTTGGACTGCTAACCCAAATATTCAAGAACCAAATGAAATCAAAACACTTGACTTGATTAAAAAAGAGGCTGAGCATTTTATGTGCCTGAGGACAACTGCAGAGTGGTGTTAATTACCAGTGTATTTGTCATTACTTCATATTACACATACCCAGTTTGTGCCCTGAGGTTTGACCACCAGTGATATGATCGGTAACCACTCTTGCCTTCCATTTTGAATGGAAGTGTATTCCCCGACCAGCAGGCGAAAACCCTTTTTGGTCTTGTTTTGTTTGCTAGGAAAATGTTGGAACCCACAGTTTGAATGGAAGACACCAACTTATAAGCAAACACTTGCCAGTAGAACATATATAGCCTCCCCTACCGATATATTGGTAGGGGAGGCTATATCAATCGTGGATGTTAATTGACCGATATTAAAATAAATAATAATAAATAAATAAAAGAAGATTATTTTTCACTGTCACTCTATATTTGTAAAAAGTCATAAACAACAAGACATAACGAATGTTAGGAAACTATATGTGTGTCTGTGTCAAAGAAAAAACAGTGAGTGATATATCCGATTTTTAAAGCGCTAAATATCAGTATTGGTCTTAAAAATCCTCTATCAGTCTGGCTCTAGTCAAATCTTTCGTTGGTAGTGAAACTGTGAAAAGTGCAAGACAAACCAGAAATGGAGACCATTTGCCATCTAAGTAAAAGTTGCACATTTTGAATGCACACATCCTCTGTTTCCAGTTTGTGTTGCATTTTTCAAGCTTTACTACCACTCAGCTAGTTGGTGAGTGGGTGCCAAGTCAATCGCCTCACGATCACATGGAGGTGTTTGGTTCAATACTCACTTTTTGACTTCTTTGTCGCCATCAGATTTCACTGAGCAACAGCCAAGAATTTGTAGAAAACACTCACAAACCGGTTATACCACTAGGGGTTCAGCAGGAAGATGTGTAGAAAATGGCAAGAGATACTGCCTGATAACTGATTTAGACTTATGCTTCCTTTCAATGTAAATCTATGAATCTCTAATGACTCTAACAATGACTATAGTTTAGATTAGTTTAGATTAGATTAGATTAGATTAGATAGAACTTTATTAATCCCTCGGGTGGGTTCCTCTGGGAAATTCGATTTCCAAAAAAAGCACAGCACCGAGAGAAGTTACAGAGTTACAGAATATTATATATATATATATACACACACACACACACACACATATATATATATATAAATACAGAGACAATATAAATAAAATATACGAAGGGGATAAATAGAATAAATAGGAATAAAAAATAAAAATACAAGTGAATTGCACATTTCAAGTATTGAGTCTATTGCACTGTTGACTATTTACAAAAGTATTGCACAGTGAGGTGAAGAGGCACTACAGCTTAGTTGTTCCCCCCTCCTTTGTCCTCCTGTCTCCCCTCCCTCTCCCCTCCAGAGAGGAGTTAAACAGTCTGATGGCGTGTGGGACAAAGGAGTTTTTAAGTCTGTTAGTTCTTGTCTTGGGGAGAAGCAACCTGTCACTGAACAGACTCTTCTGGTTGTTAATGGCCGTGTGCAGAGGATGCCCAGCATTGTCCATAATGTCCATCAGTTTCTTTAGTGTCCTTTTCTCTGCCACTGTCACCAGAGTGTCCAGCTTCATGCCGACCACAGAGCTAGCCCTCCTGATCAGTTTCTCCAGCCTGGATGAGTCCTTCTTTGCTGTGCTGCTCCCCCAGCACACCACAGCATAGAAAAGTACTCCAGCAACCACCGACTGGTAAAACATCCTCAGGAGCTTCCTGCAGATGTTAAAAGACCTCAGCCTCCTGAGGAAGTACAGTCGGCTTTGGGCTTTTTTATACAGGTGCTCTGTGTTGCATGACCAGTCCAGTTTATTGTCCACCCACAGCCCGAGGTACTTGTACTTGTTGACCACCTCCACCTCCTCCCCCTCTATCTGAACCGGCAGTGGACCTGCTCTAGACCTCCCGAAGTCCACAACCAGTTCCTTAGTCTTTGAGGTGTTGAGTTGCAGGTGGTTTGTGTGACTCCATGCGACAAAGTTCCTCACCAGACTCCTGTACTCCTCTTCCTGATCATCCCAGATACACCCCATGATGGCTGTGTCGTCTGCAAACTTCTGAATATGGCATAATTCAGAGTTGTAGCAGAAGTCAGAGGTGTACAGGGTGAAGAGAAGAGGGGACAGCACAGTTCCCTGTGGTGCTGCTGTGCTGCTGACCACAGTGTCAGACGTGATGTCCTTCAGCCTGACATACTGTGGTCTGTCGGTGAGGTAGTCGGAGATCCAGGCCACCAGGCAGGCAGGTTTAGTTTAGTTTACAGGTTTAGTTTACAGAATGAATGTCATAAAGTCATCAGAAAAATGTGTTTACTGACGTCACGGTGCAGGGGATCTCTGTTGGTGCGTCCCATTTGAAAAACAGAATCATTCAGCTGGAATGCTCACTCAAGCCGGACTTCCATCTAGGAAAGTTAAAGCAGCACCAATGCCTACTTAATAAAAGAAGATCACAGGAGTGCACGTAAGCTTTAATAACGCTGGAATACTTGAAAAGTGCACCACTAATCTTAGGCATTTGTGACTTGCTAAATAAGCCACACATTTCCTTGCTTTTTTGACTTTATTACTGCTCTTAACTCAGTGTTACATCACACCCCCTCCAATATCTGACTTCAGAGCTAAATGGTATGAATTTGCAACCAAGGGAGTAGAGTGTAAAAGAGTAAGCCACAATAAGTTACGACACTAAAACAAGATTGTTTTCAAACTGCATTGTCATCATAACCCATATTAGATTTTTAAATCTCTAAATATCCGTTCAGAGGAGTAGCCCCCTGCTGGCCATTGGAAAGAATGCAAGTAGAACACACGGTCCACGTAACATATCATGGTGTGTCTGTGAAGATTCTCAGTCATCCAGGTCATCGTAGTCAAAGGAGCTTGCAAAGAAATGCATCTGGACTTCTTTAAGTTGCTTGAAGACGTTTCACCTCTCATCCGAGAAGCTTCTTCAGTTCTAAGGTCATGGTGTAGTCCGAAAACATTAGAAATTCTGAGTTCAATATGGAAAGCCCCCCTCAAGTCAGAGTAGCACCAGCAATCTCCAGTTAACCTGAGTTAGCACTGAGCTTAAATGGTAGCGAAACCGTAAATCTTTTAATCTGTGCTACCAATGTTGTGTATTTGTGACTCACTGAATGCAGGGATGATTTTAGGCAAAAATAAAAGAGGCAGAATGCTGTTTTGGCTTAGAACCAAACAAATCCTGTTTTTCATCTCTTTTTCCAAACACAGAGCTCTGAGGTAGCTGTGTCCATTTTCAACATACAGTCTATATGCTTTTTCTCATAAAGCTAAAAAAGCAAACATAAAAAACCCCCAAAACAGCCCAGTGAGGTGTGGCCTAGTTCTTTGAATCACTTGACAACAAATACTTTAAAATTCTTTTTAGTCTTATGTTTGTTTCTTATAGTATTACTACAGTCACACCTTTCGCACAAGGGATTTAAAAAGTATGAGTTAAGCAGAAGTGATTTTACAGTAAATGTGAACTAATTCATCTCATATTAAATCCATGTATTCCTTCTACGCTCACTCGCATTTTTGCGTCTGCCTAATTAAAGCGTGAGGCTTTAGCATTTTGTGTAACCGCATTTGCCTTAAGCTTTGATTTCAAAGAAAAGGCAAATAAAAAAACAAAACAAGTCTGTCTTTTTAGCCTCTTCGCCTGCAGTTGTGTGTGTAGCAACGCGACCTGCCTGCGATTTCCTGCTTTGGGTTTCCCTTTAAAAGGGGGCAAGGCTCAATGCTGGGAATTCACGTCATTTCGCCGTTTTACACACGTCCAGATCAATGAGAGAGAGAGAGTGAGAGAAAGCGAGAGAGAGAGAGAGTGGTGTCCGCCGAGCTCTCTCTCTCTTCGGTCTCGCTCTTCCAGGAAGGGATTATTAACCAGCGCGCTGCCGACATGTGAAGGGAAAACACACGCAGACAAAAGAAGTTTTCACACCGACGACCACGCTATGGACCCGGCCAGCAAATAAAGGAAGGAGGAAGAAAAAAAAAGGGAAAAGAAGCGGGCTACATGAAAAAAACAACTTCTCCCACAAACACAAGCCGAGCAGTCGGGCTGCCGCTCGCGCTGCAGCTGTGCGGGTTTCTATAAGAAAGGAAAGAAGATAAAGAACAGCGCGCGACGGAAAAGTGGAGAGAAGTTGACTGGAGATAATGTCTGAATCCTCCTCCGCTGCGAACAAGGTAACACCGTCCGCTCACCCTCCCCTTTTAACGCGCTCCCTCGTTTGTCTTCAGGAGACAATTTCAACTGTTTGGTTTGAGTCTCCGCTGCGTGTGATAGAGCCGCCAGGGTTGTATCACCTCCCGCAGACTGCTGTACAGCGCCATTCAGTTTGTTTTGCTAGTCATCTGTTGCTCGCGGCTCCACGCTCTGAGTTCGCCTCCACTCTGCTCATGATTGGAAGAAGTCGTGACTGTGTGACTGTGTGACTTACCGACGACCCCCCCCCCCCCAAAAAAAAGTAAGCAGAGATCGGGGGGCGAACGAGTTGCAACCTGCATGTATCTGTAGCATCAGTAAAAAAAAGCTTTCCCCCCTTTAACTATATGAGCTGAAGGTGGGTGTTAGGACTGCATCTGAAGCAGGACTTAATGGATAAGCAAACGCTTGTTCTAGAGCTGAACTGAACTATTCATCTAAAGACTGTACGGTGGAGGGGGAATGGTTGATTTTTCCTCCCTTTTTCAACGACGAGGAATTAATCAAAAACAGATACATAAAAAAGGCAAAGGCTGCATTAGAGGTGCATGCATCATTATGCAACATGATTCAATGCAAATAAATGTTTTTTCTGATAGCAACTGTTTGCAGGCAAATGCAGGCATTTAATAAAGTGCACCAGTTGTGACATTTTAGGCAGATACAGATACCAATACCGATATTTTATATATTTATTGAAAAAGTGTTTTTTATTCCCTGGGATAAGAAGAGACATATTTATAAAAAGCAACTTATATGTTTTAAAGGCCTTCACACAAATTTGGAACAGTTATTTTATCGACAAACACACAGCTAGCTAACTGCAAACAACAAACCGATACTGATGCTAGGCCAGTGTTTACTCTGTTTTTGTTTGTGTGTTTTGTGTTGTTTTTATTTATCCTTTTTAAAAAGGATATAAAATTAAAGGAATAAAATTATTGTCTGAAGAAATTAGATACCAACCGATTTATCTGTTGGCCTATACTGGGCTAAGTTAGCTATTTGCTGGTCTATTGGAATTCGCATTAAAAGCAGCTGATTTAAAAGAAAAATTGAAGCTGTGTCCGCACTGGAAGTGATTTGCTTATTGCGCATAGCTTTAAAGCTGGCGCTTGGTTACTTGTGGACATTCCAGGCTCCAGTTTTCTAGGTAAGCGTTTAATGCATTCACTACCAGGTTATAAGTCACTCCTGGTATTCTGTGTTCTCACTGATAGTTACTTTTACTGGTCGCCTAAAAGTTGAGCTTATATTCATTCTGCACTTTGAATACCCACAGCTTGTACACAGCTTAAAGATGAGAAACGTGTTGTGAGTGTTGACATTTCGTAGTGTGACCTCTAGAGGGCACACTGCATTTTTAAAAATCTTTAAATCGCCAAATATCGCTATTGATTCAAAAGAAATAAGGGAACTATAAAGACTTTGGCTAAATGTCTGACGACAGCATAATAATGTAAAACTGATGATAAAAGTAAATGTCATTGACTGCCATCAGTTTTGGTGAATGCGGCCAATATCAGCTGATATATCAGTGCGTCTCTAATATTTTGGCTTTTGTAGCCGGTGGTCATACTAGGTGTAAACAGCTTAAACCCACTTTGTGCTTTCCAAGAGCATGTTGTGATCTGTGTGATCCATCGATTAATCGTTAATGAAGATGATACACGGTTGCAGCATGAAGACAAGGAGACAATATTGATCAGCAGAGACTGAATGCTAAAAATAGCTGATTAACCTGCAACAATTTTTTGATCTGATTATTGTTTTTGTCACACTAAAACTGGCTTTGTGCTTTTATTTTTGGACGTTAGTCAAAAATCCAAGTCTATCACTGTAACTGGGACATGTAATAATAGAAATATTATTTGAGGTGCCAAGGTCAGACTGAAATAGCTCAAAGCAATGCGCACTGTCCAGTAACTGAAAACGAAAAACAATGTTTTGTTTGTGAGGGATGTCTGCTCATTACTGAGTCTGATGTCAGGGCACGATTGCCGAGGAATGATCAGAACTTCCCTCTGAGAACTTTTACCGTCAGAGCGAGAGAGGACGACTCCCCCTCACCTTCGGCTCTGTCGCAAATCACTTTCCGTTGGTCCCAGAGGTCGCGTTTTCACAGACCCAGGCAAAGCTGTGTGAAGACGCAGGCAGCTGAATTTTTAGACAGCTGAATGTCAAGAGAAAGGCCTTCTGCCTCTGAGACGAGGAAATAGAAGACTGGAAGATTATTGCTGGGGTTCCACAGGAAATTCCTGGTACATGTAGTTGTTGTGCAGGTCTCGAAGTAGCTGGGTGGTGACAACAGGTTGGAAGGTGAAACGGCAAGAAAAACAAAAACAAAAAAAAAAACTAACTAAAAAAAACCCTGAGCTTCATTTCCTCAAGAAACCAAGGTGGAATCATGCTTTGCAGGAAAGGAAACCAGTCAACAGAAAATTACAGTTAACTGGAAAACCTCATACTTTTAGCCTGCGTTCGATGCACGCCATAAACAGCAGCAGGGCTGAGTGTCTTAAAACGTCAGAGCATCGTGGAGAATACAGCTGCTTTAACCGTTTAATGTTGCACAGTGGTATTAATACAATCAAAGCAGTGTGATTTACAGAGTTCAAACCTTGTAGATTTCTCATAAAAATGCACAAAATCTTTACATTCAAGCAGCAGAAACCAGTGAAAAACTCCCATTGTTGCCTGACTATTGACTGAGAAATTCTTAGGCGATAGTTCATGTTATTCAGATCTTTGAAAGTCTCACCTATGTACTGACTAACCATGAAAAGGATTTTTGTGTTGAAAGGAAATAAGACATCATTTTGTTATGTCATTTTAAAGCTTTTGCAAACCACAGTGAACCATCTGAAAGAAAACAAAGCAAATACACAGAATTCGCTTGCATGTCCATACAAGGACGCTGACTAACAATTGTGTTAATTATGTCCTGATTATTATCTAAAGATATTTATGTGTAGAGTGTCTAAATTCCCAGAAATCACTGAAAAGGATTGTTTCCTTGCAAACAGCGAAAACTCCAAATGCATGATGTTAAAGTCATGCATTTCAACATAACTTTATTGCTCTACTGTGTTGATATGATTCATTCTTTTCTAGATTAGTCCAGCAATGAAAGTAATGCTCGCATTTTGACTCATGAAGTAAAAATGAAAACCAGAAATGCTGTTTATACTGGACAATTTCAAGATGATGCTTTTAAAATCCAAAAAGCTGTCATTGTTCAAATATGTGCCATTTTTAACTGTTTCTGAATCTTTAATCCATGAAAAACCACATAGATTAGTCAGTTTGTCTTTAAACAGAAAACATGATTTCTGATGTAAATCCACTGTGGTCGTTGACAACCAAGAGCAGGAGAGTCTGTGGTCAACATCTTGTCCGTCAGTGTATTGCTTAGTTTAGGACCATAACTCAGTCCAGTGCAACACATGTCCTAAAGCATGCATGGCATTCTGGGTATTTGGATGTCCAGAAAGTGACTTCACAGCTCAACTGGCCAGAGCATCAGTTTATCAGGCGCACAGTCTCCTCTGTGTACCGAGGCTAGCCGTTAGTGTGGGTGCACGGCGAGGTGAGGCGAGTCGGCGTGGTGCTGTTTGGGTTCAGGGCCGGTGCATCGCAGAGCTTTGTGAGCCATGCTTTGTGTCTCTGTGTCTATTCATAGCAGGAGAGGAGCTCTTTCAGTCCTTCCGCGAACCCGCTGCCAAACTCTACTTCCTCCCCCGTCCATGCTCCCGCCGCGAGGCCAGCCAGCCGAATGGAGGACGAGCCTGCCAGGCTGCCTGCGCACCTGCGTGAGTCACACTCTCTTGCTTACACACACACACACACACACACACACAAAAGGATGACCAGTCACTCCCACATGCATCGATCAGCCGGTCATTTGAACAGGACAGATTGATTTTTGTCAGTGTTTTTGGTATCTTGCTCTGGAAATGTTTCCGCTTGGTCCTAAGTGATGATCTGGGAAACCAGATCTGAAGTTGTCCTCATAATTTGTTCAAAAATCCCTTGTCAAGGTGAGCTTTTTTCTCTCTCTCTCTCCTGCTGACACAGTTTTAACTTCTGGAGGTGATGGCATCGGAGAGTTTAGGTCAGCAAGCAGAAGTAATGGACTATCAAAGTGAGGACATGAATAAATAAAAATAGTTAAAACTCATCACATCCAGTCAGGGCAGCACACTCGCTATTATCACTGCATGAGTGCTGAGCTGGTCATGCTGTGTCTCTTAGCTGGGAGGCGCTGAAGCAGATCTGGGGTCAGGCTTTTAATAACACATGCTTCCACTGGAGCACAGCTGACTGACCTTCTGCACTGCAATAACAGCTACAGACAATATGGACCAGAGAACATACAATATAAGGAACCATGTTTAAATTAAGTCTGTTCAATACACAAGATCCTTACTTTACATGTTCCCCGATCATTCAATTAGATGATTTCTTAAACATCTTTAAACGCAACATCCAAATAAGTCCTTGGTCACCAAGTGGCTTAAGGATAAAGTGTTTACTAATATGAAAACATTTAGTTATTTAATTATCTTAAAAAACTGTGCACGCTTACAGGTGGCCAATCTACTACTTTAAAATGCGGAGATTAGACATATAAGACATCTCTATAAAGGGATTACAAACCTTTGGTTAGCTAGCTTTATAGATGGTATGCTGGATATCAGGAAGTTTTCCTGTGTTAGCAAGTAAGATAAGTAACACTAGCTAACATTATATCACAGGGGGCAGTTAGCCAGCTAGTCTTTCACGTTCAAGTTAGCTTTGTTGCATTTATGCCAATACTTAGCCGATCTCTGAGTTGTACAAGATACACAATGTTCAGTTATTAATAATGATGTTATCATTATTGATTTGGCCGATGCTAGTTCTCCCGCAGTGTATGAGCACGTGTGCAAAAGGTGTCATTCAATAACTTAAAATGAGGTTGTTGAAAGAAAACTTCTGTAACTTAACTTTGCTAGCTCTATGGTTATGTTATGTTTCTATACCCTGAAACTTGTTGTGTGTAATGTTGGCAAACTTGCATTTCTTATAATTTTGATTATTGCTAATCAAAATAGGCAGCATAGAAGGTTTTTGGTACCAGAACATTCTGTTTCTGCTTCTGTTTGTATCCAGCAGTATTGATCAGCCGTATCAGAGTGTGCTTTGGCTGCAAAGGCAGAAATGCTAATCTAAAAAAACAGTTTCTTTAATCTGATCATCATTTATCTTATCGTAGAATATAAACAGTTTCTTGTCACAAAATTGTAAGTCTTATTCTGAATATGAGTTAAACAGTAAGCCCTGAAACACTGGCTGTAGCAGAGCAGAGCAGACTGGGAACTAATCTAAAAAGAATAACTTGGACTACATCATTCGGTTGTAGCAATTAAGCTTCCAGACTGCGAGTATGCAGGATACAGTCCTGAAACTCTAAAGGTGTGTTTCTGAGGTGACGGTGGGTCCGGTTTGAGCCACAGTACTAACGTGCTGACAGCCACTGCAGATGGCTCTCGTGGTCTCTGGACACCCTTTATCAGCATTTATCACTGTATCACTGAATGGTGAGGAAAGGTTATTTTGACACAAATAGAAAACGGATATCAGAACATTTTGACATGGACATGTCGTGCAGTATCGTGAATGACTCAGTCACAATTCAAAACAGGAAAAGCAGGATTCTGTTATTTGAAAAAAAGTTTTTCTCTTCAGTTTTTTTTCTGGTTTTTTTTGCATTTATTGTGATGCTTTAAATGTAAAGTAGACTGAATGTGAACATATTTGTGAGATATGAGTCAGGCGGCTTTTTTGTGGAAGCATTAATTTTTAAAAAATCATTTGGGTGTCTTTCCTTCTCTGTTCGTATCAGTTGAAACCAGTTGAAGAGCTTCCATCTACCTTTCATGGTCAGCATTGACGCAGCCTAGTCTTTCCAGAGCCGTGACGTGAAGGGCAAGGTGAAAGTGACTAGCCGGCTTTATTTGAACCAGCAAAGGAGAAAGTCTGATGAAATATATTTGGGAACAACTTGGTGACGCAACTGGGTGACATTCACAGTTTTACTGGACTAGAGTTTGGTTGCATCTGCTCATTCATTGCTTACCCAATCATAGAGGGGGCGGGGTTGGCGCTGTGCCAAGAGATAGGCTAACAGTTCAAAGACTAACCCTGAATTGCTTCATTGGTGCACATGTCAATATTTAACCAGTTAGTTTTTCTCTAGCCGGTGTGAAGTTCAGGACTCTTGGCGGGGCGTTAGGCTGGGTGTCAGGCTGAAGCTGGATGAGATGCACAGGAAATTCCCTCAGCCCACTTCCTCTTTTGTATTGTTGCAGAAAAAGGAAGAACGCTCAACAGGTCCGCATTGGGTTTCCTGTCGAGTAAACTGATGGGTCACTTCACATCCGCAGACATGTGGAAGTCGAACTCTGTTTTAATCAGATGTCAAGCACAGTTGCTCACGCAGACTCAGACATCTGCAGGTCGTCTTTCATTTTTTCTTCTGCAGTGTTTAGTTTATGACTGCTGCTAAAGGGGATCCACTCTCCTCTCTCAGACAGCCAGCCACACGTCTTTGTCACGGCTCGCAAGGTCTAAAACACCTCTGCTCGTCCTTTCTCTTCCTTGCTATATAAACACACGTGCTGGAAAACAAGTCATCCATTAACCCCCGCACTCAGAGGGAGATTTATTCTGAGGGTGGGGGGAGGAGGGGTGAAGAGGGAAGGAAGAGCGAGAAGAAGAAGGAGGAGGAGGAGGAGGAGAGAGCGGAGGAGGAGAGGGGAAAAAAAGACAGAAAGAAAAAGAATGAGGGAGGAAATTGCAGTGTGGGCAGAAATCCGCCTTCTCCATTTCCTGGGGAGGAAGTGGATTAGATCGGGGAGAGTTGCAGCCTGCTCCTCACACTAAAGAATGCTACTAGGCTCAATTTTTAACCCTTTCTGTCAGACATCACTGCAGTACACTGTAAACTCTAACACAATGTGTTTAAATCGTTACCAAATGCAGTATGTTAAAACATCGTCTATGTCAGTGAATGAATTTTATTCATTATGAAGACATTTTTGGGCCAAAAAACGTCAAGTTGTAACTATATGCTGGCATAATATAAAAAGAAATTTATGTAAAGACACAACACACATCTGGAGTAAAGCGAACTAAATAAAGGGATAAAAAAAAAAAAAGCAATTAATATTTACTGAAGATGCACTCATGTTTGGATTTTAAAGTCTGCACAACATGTTTAATGACATGTTTTGTGACATCATACAAAGCAGTCAGGTTTAGTTTTGAAATGCTAACAGGTTTGATGTGATAAAATATGCGAATAAGCAGAATTTAAATGTAGAAAATAAAAACTATGAAAATAAAATATTTGAAAATATTTAAAGTCAAAACACTTTGAAGCTTCTTTCAGTTGGCAGGTTTGACCTAATCATAGCTTGTATATAAAAGATAGATGTGGCTATCATGATGTCATTCCTTGTTATTTGAACCACTACTTTGAAACTTAAATAGTCTTTTTTGCACCCTTGAGTGACCATGTATAGATAAAAGCCTGCAGTACTGCTATTATCTAATGCTAGTAAGCTTAATTAGCAAGTCATAGGCTAATTAATGCTAAAAGTCACTCCAATAAATAAATCCACTCTGCTGGTATTGCACAGCAAGCTGTGTGATATCATATATTTCATTTAAAAGAAGTGAAAGAAGATTACTCATGGAGACAAAAAAAACCCTAAATTTTTTATATTAAGCCATAGACATTATTATTATTGAATTATTTACTCTCTTAATTTTGTGTATTTCAATTGGTGCTGTACAAACACTGACTCTTATTTGAAGCCAGTCTCAAGTGACCTTTAGAATAACTGCCATTGAGACAACAGAGCCTTAGTGATACACACACATAGTCTTTGACCAAGCTTAAAGGTGCTTTTCATTGGTTTTCTTGCTGATAATTAGATGGGAAAATCAGACCTCTCATGTCCATCTTTTCAATATACAACTTTAGCTAGGAGCTAATTAGCTTAACTTAACGCTGTAAACAGAGGAAAAGTAGTTTGTTTAGATCTCAAAGTTAACAAAATCTATCAGCAACTCTAAACCTCGCTAATCAACACGCTCCATCTTGTTTGTGGTAGTAGCTTCCTGATTTATGCAAAGGTTGCCTGGTAACCACTTGTTGGCAACATGATTTCTGGAAGTTATTATACCCACCTAGCTGCCAATAAAACTCCAACCTGTGTTTTTGCGAACAAGGATGTGACTGAGCTGGTAGGTGTTTTTGTTGCCACGGACAAAATTAAGCTAGCTGTTTCCCCCATATTTCGAGTTTTTATGCTATGCTAAGATAATCTTCTACCTTTAGCTTTGAAAATGCCACACGGACATGAGAATTATACCAGTACAAAGTGTGTGATTCTCAAACCATAAAACCGTTACAATATTCCTTTTGTGGTGTTTGTGAGTTTTTTATTTTATTTTTGAAGACTTTACATACAACAACACATTACGCCTACAGGAGCTGCTTAGATTTTGAAACCCATGCCATGAAGCTCCCAGTGCACATTGTTTGTGCTGATGTTCATTTCAGAGGAAGTTTGGAGCTCTGTAGTTATTTAATCAGCAAAGCTTTGACAACTTTTATGCACCATGTGCTTCAGTACCCAGTGACCCAGGTGTATAACTTTGGTCTGGTACCTTATTGCTGTGGTTGCTAAATCCACTATAAGGCTGCAGTACCACTTTCACCTGCTCCTGGAATATCTAGGAGGGGAGAAGTTTCATGAAC